CTTAACTGCAGAGGGCAGCATCACTGGCCCTCATATGTGGGATCCGAACCGGGGCCCTCTGGGGTCCCAAGCCAGCTCCCAACCAACGTGCCACTCGGCCGGCCCTGGTCTTGTTATTTTAAGTCATTGGATTGAAACCAATGTATAATCTTAAGCTTTCTCTGGACAATGGAATCTTCAGTACCTTGTAGATAAAACTACATTTGTTCTGCCTGGTTGTCAAATTCACATCTTTTATTTTTTCCATTGATTTTTTAATTTTTAAAGTACTGATTCAGTGGTTTTTAGTATATTCATAAAGTTCTGTAATCATCACTGCTGTCTAATTCCAGAAAATTTACATCACCGCAATGTCATTATTTCTCCTTGCCCCCAGCTGCCAGCACTCATTTGTCTGTATGGATTTGCCTATTCTGAGCATTTCATATAAATAGAATCATACAATATATGGCCTTTTGTGTCTGGCTTCTTTTAGTTAGCGTAATGTTTTCAAGTTTTATGCATGTTGTAGCATGTACCAGTATTTAATTCCTTTTTATTGCCAAATCAATTTCACTGTATGTATATACCATATTTTATTTATCCCTTAATCAATGATGAACATTTGGGTTGTTTTCACTTTTTGGCTACTATGGATAATGCTGCCGTGAACATCTTGTACAGATTTTTGCGTGGACATGTTTTCAGTCTCTTAGGTACATACCTGGGAGTGAAATTGCTGCGTCATATGGAAACTCTGTTTAACTTTTTGAGTTGTTTTCCAAAGCAACTACATTGTTTTACTTCTCACCAGCAATAGATGAGACTTGCAACTTCTCCACAAATTCACCAATACTTCTTATTTTCTGGGCTTTTTGTTTTGTTTTGTTTTCGAATTTTAGCTATCCTGGTAGATGTGAAGTGGGTCTTATTGTGATTTTGATTTGCATCTCCCTAATGACTGGCTAATGATGCTGAGCATCTTTTCATGTGATTGATGGGCATTGGTGTACTTACTTTGGAGAAATGTCTATTCAGATCCTTTGCCCATTTGTTATTGGTTTATCTTTTTATTGTTGAGTTGTAAGAGTTCTTTATTCTAGATGTCAGTCTCTTATCAGATGAGAGATTTGAAAATATTGTCTCTCATTCTGTGGGTTGTCTTTTTACTTTCTTGATGGTGTCGTTTCAAGCCGAAAAGTTTTTAATTTTGAAGAAATCCTTTTTTGTTGTTGTTGCTTGTGCTTTTGGTGTCATGAAGATTTATTCCTATGTTGTATTCTAAGAGTTTATAGTTTTAGTTCTGATATTTAGGTCTATGATTCGTTTTGAGTTAATTTTTGTATACAGTGTGAAGAAGGGGTCCAACTTCATTCTTTTGTATGTGAATATTCAGGTATCTCAGGACCGTTTGTTAAAAGATTATTCTTTCTGCCATTGAATTGTCTTTTCACTCTTGGTTAAAAATCAGTAGACCATAAATGTAATGGTTCATTTCTAGACTCTCAAGTCTTTCCCATTGATTTATATGTCTATCCTTATGTCAGTAAGACACTGTCTTAATTATTGTAGTTTTGTAGTAAGTTTTAAGTGGGGAAGTTTGTCTTCCATCTTTATTCTTATTTTTCAATGTATTGGCCATTTTGGGTCCTTCAAATTTCCATATGAATTTTAAGATCAGCTGTCAATTAAAAAAAAAAGTCTGGGATTTGATAAGGATTGCATTAAATATGTGGATCATGTGCAGAATATTGCTATCTTAATATTCATCTTCTGACCCATGAACATGGGATGTCTTTCCATTTATTTATGTCTTCTTTAATTTTGTATAATATTTCATTGTGTTTAGTGTACAAGCCTTGCACTTCTTTTGTGAAATGTATTTCTAAGTATTTTATTCCTTTTGATACTATTGTAATGGAATTGTGTTCTTAACTTTATTTTCATTGCTTGTGTATAGATATATGGTTGATTTTTATGTACTGATCTTGTATCCTACAGCCTTGCTGAACTCATTTATGGGTTACAAGAATTTTTTTTTTAGTAGACTCCTTAGGATTTTCTGAATAAGATCATGTCATCTGTGAATAGAGGTAGTTTTACTTCTTCCTTTCCAACCTGGATTGCCTTTATTTCTTTGTTTTGCCTAATTACCCTGGCTAGAACCTCTAGTACAATGTTGAATAGAAGTGCTGCGAGTGAGCATCCTTGTCTTGTTACTGATCAAATTCATGTCTTATGTCAGACTTTTAGAGCAGATTTTTTGTTTGATAGATTTTTATGTCTAGCATTTCCTCTTTTTATGTTGTCATTGTTTTGAAAAGTGGAAGAACTTTATTTCAGGACCAATTGGAATTCATGGAGAAATCCCCTAAGTCATTTATTCTGTCACTCTTATACTTGTATATACTTTATTTTAAACAACCTATGCTTACTACATGCAGAGAAACATTTACTTCACTCTTCAGAATTCTATTGATCATTGTTTATTATTTTGGTCTTCTTGTTCAGCTTGTTTATTATGTGATAATATTTTAAAATTTAACCATTTGCTATATTTTGTATGTAATGTCAGTTGTACTCTTGAAAGAAAAAGTTTAACAAATTATTTTACCTACAGGAGTCATTGTTTTGTGTTTGCCAGAGGATCGAAATGATAGATGATAGTGTCTCAGTGATAATGGCTGTTAGAAGCAATTTCACCTTGTATTAGCATCACATTGTTTGTTTTTCTTTCTAAAATGTACCACAGGGCCGGCCGAGTGGCGCCGTTGGTTAAGAGCTGGCGTGGCATGCCAGAGGGCCCCGGTTTGGATCCCACATATGAGGTCCAGTGACTCTGCCCTCTACAGCTAAGATGGTGAACAACAGCTCAACCTGGAGCTGGGCTGCCACGAGTTGCTGGCGACGGTGTAGGCTGCAGCCACTGCTGCAGTGGGTTGCCATGGGCTACCGTGTGCAGCCAGCAGCCAGCGTGAGTGGCCATCCAGAAGCCAGTGACTGATCTGCCTCGCCTGGGAAGAGCGCAATGATGGTGCCAACTTTGGCCAGTGAAGCAACGTCCTCCACAACNACACCACCGCTGGCGACTCCCGGCAGCCCAGCTCCAGGTTGAGCTGTTGTTCAGCATCTTAGCTGTGGAGGGCAGTATCACTGGCCCTCATATGTGGGATCTGAACCGGGGCCCTCTGGCATCCCAAGCCAGTTCTTAACCATCGCACTACTCGACCAGCCCTATTTTTTTTATTGAGGTGAAATTTATATAACATAAAGTTAATCATTTTAAAGTGAATAATTACATTTAGTACATACACATTGTTGAGTAACCATCACCTCTATCTAGTTTCAAAACATTTTTTTGTCACCCCAAAAGGAGACCCATACCCATTAAGTAATCATCCTCATTCCCATCCAGCCCCTGGGAACCACCGATGTGTTTTCTGTCTCTATGGATTTCCCTATTCTAGATATTTCATATAAATGGAATCAAACAGTATGTGACCTTTTATGTCTTAGCTTCTTTCACTTAGCATAATGTTTTTGAGGTTCATCTACATAGCATGTATCAACACTTCATTTATTTTTAAGTGTGACTAGTATCTCATTGTATGGCTTATTTTCACCATTTTGCTATTGCTATGAATGTATGTGTACACGTGTTTGTTTGAGTACCTGTTTTCAATTCTTTTGGGTATATACCTAGGAGTGGAATTGATGGGTCCTATGGTAATTCTATCTTTAACTTTTTGAGGAACCACCACACAGTTTTCCATAGCAGTTAGATTATTTTACATTACTATAAACAATCCATGAGAGTTCTAATTTCCATAGCCTTGCTAGTCTCGTTATTTCTGTTTTTCTGACTTAGCCATCCTAGTGGATATGAAGCGGTATCTCATTGTAGTTTTTATTTGCATTACCCTAATGACTAATGACAGAGCATCTTTTCACAAACTTATTGGCCATTTGATTGCCTTCCTTGGAGAAATGTCTACTAATCCTTTGCCCATTAAAAAACTTTTTTTGTCATCGAGTTCTAGAGTTCTTTCTATATTCTGAATATTAGACATTTATGATTTACAAACATTTCCTCTCATTCTGTAAGTTATCTTTTCATTTTCTTACTAATGTCCTTTTATGCACAAAAGTTTTTAATTTTGAGGAAGCTCAGTTTATGTCTTTTTTTCTTTTGTTGCTTATACTTTTGGTGCCAATCTAAGAATTGCATGTCAAAACCAAGGTCATGAAGATGTATGCCTGTGTTTTCTTTTAGGAGTTTTAAATTTGAGCTCTTACATTTAGGTTGTAGGTCCACTTTGAAATTCTTTTATTATGGTAAAATATATATAACATAAAATTTGTCATTTTGAACCATTTTTAAGCGCACAATTTAGTGGCCTTAATTATATTCACAGTGTTGTGCAACCATCACCACGATCTTCCAAAACCCTTTCATCATTCCAAACAAAAACTCTGTACCCGTTAAGCAACAACTCTCCATTTTTCCTACTCCCAAGCCTTGGTAACCTCTGATCTACTTTCTGTCTCTATGAATTTGCCTGTTCTAGGCACTTATATAAGTGCAACTGTATAATACTTGTAGCATGTGTGAGAACTTCATTCCTTTCTATGGCTTTATAATGTTCCATTACGTATACCACATTTTGTTTGATCCATTTATCTGCTAATAGACATTTGGGTTGTTTCCACGTTTTGGCCATTGTGAATAATGCTGCTATAAACATTGGTGCACAAGTACCTGTTTAAGTCCCAAATTTCAGTTATTTGGGGTAGGAGTGGGATTTCTGGGTCATATGGTAATTCTGTGTTTTAACTTTCTAAGTTAAAATTTTGTTCCCTTTTGAGTTACAATTTTTATATGGTGTGAGGCGTGCTTTAATAACTTGGAAGCATGTTTTCACTCAGGGTGAAGACAAAGGTTTATCTCAGGAGAAACACATGGGCATTGGCCCCTTGAAGACACTTGCAGGCCTGAAAGGCCATCCCTGTAAACCAGACGTGAGCAGTACCACAGAATCACTAGCCACAGTCAGTAGAGTGAATGTTGACATCTTACTTGCAGAAAGGGACTTAAGTGATGGCTTAGTACAAGTAAATGAGCCAAGACACTTAGCTGCCTCTAATGAGCTAGAAGGTAAATGCAGTGTTTCTCAAGTGAAAGAGAGGCTGCAGGATAACACTAAGTCCAGCCCTCAACCTGGAAACCTCATTCCTACCTGGTCCTCTGACGATGTCCCTGGAAAAAGGAATGACCCAGTGAAGACTCGGCAGCCCCTGAACAAAGACCAAAAGCCAAAGGACCAGGTGAGTGATATGCGTGAGGTACTGGTTTCAGAGAGAAGACTGGAAAGTGCGGTTAGAAAGGTGTGTTGTTTGGTTGTGCTGTAGTTGTTGTTTTAGGAAAATCAGCCGTTCTGTGTACCAGTTTAAACATAATAGAAACCAGAGGATGAGACCCGAGGGATTAGATCCCTTCTTGCCCTGGTGTACGGTACTTGGTGGAAGCATACCATTTTTATGTTGTTTCCTATTTCTGTATCACTCTTCCTGAGTCCTCCAATTGATGGGTAGTTCCAACAGTTAGATACTATCACATTCCCTCTTGCCTTTGAAAAGTTAGTGGATTGATCTTGATTTTTTAAGTTCAGGAATAAAAAAATATTTTATGTGTTGGAACGAAACAGGAAGGAAGAAGCAAAGAAAAAGAAAGGAGCCAAAGAAGTTTGATACTGAGAGACTATTCTGAGTAAATTTAATGGCTATGTTCTACTTGAACTTGGAAAGAAGCTTCAATTAGATGCAGCATGGTAATAACAGGATTAGCGAGAAAGGCAGAACATTTGATTAACTTGACATTTTTATGTGTAAAATATTTAAAATATATATTTAATAGGCATATTGATTATATTTTTATAATCTATGCTTATATATATATTTGAATTTGATGTATTACATTTTTTATTTAACATACTTTATATAAACATAGTAAAACTATTTTACATGTTTATATTTGAATGTTTTTAATGAAGTTTTGTTTTTATGGAAAAGTGCATGTATAATG